ATTTTGTCAGAAATGTTTGATGCTTCTTGGGGTTTTCTGTTTGATACTCTGACTGTGGTTGTCAGTAGCGAAAAGAAAGGGGGAAAATTGAGGGCGGCTGGGACCGCTTCGCCAGGTAGGCGAAAGGAAAAGGACTTGCTCCACTGCAAGTCCAGCTGACCACTTGTATTGTGTGTGGAGGTTCACGTGTGGGACAACAGCGGTCGTTCGGACTCCTGGGGTTGCCACCTGGGGTGCCGCCCCAGAAGCCACAAACCTGCTACGACCGGTCAGTCATACCATCACTGGGCCTGGAGGCAGCACAGAAGGACCAGTGAGATCATCACTCGGCCTCGAGGCAGCACAAGAGGATCAGTGAGATCATCACTGGGCCTGGAGGCAGCACAGGAAGGACCAGCGAGACCATCCTTCACCGTGGATAAGACTCGGTGCCGCCTGAGACTCTTGAGGTTAAATCCGCAGCTGCCATTGATCCTTGCTGCAAGCCTGAGTCTCATGGGAGGAAGTACCAGTGGTAAGGGTTTGTGCTGATTGGCGAGAGCGAGGTGTGCGAGAATTCATCGTGTCTGTGTGGTGTTGTGTGTGGTGTGTGTTGAGTCGGACACTACAGCCTTGCAGGGGTGGGCTGGATATCACGACCGGTATGATTCCACTTTCGAACACCGTGTCCTGGCTGTAGTGGTTAAGATACCTGGCTCTTGAGGCCGAGGTCGCCGGTTCGAATCCGTGCTTTCACGGTAGAGGACGTCGGGCTCATGCTGGGATGGGTAGCGCCGTCCTATAACCTCAGGGTTGGGGAGCTAGATGTGCAGATCCATTTAGCTGCTCATAACTGGAAAACCTTCTGATGCATGAGTACAGTCAATCGTGAGGGTCTAGGGAAAAGAACCGCAGGAGCCTGGTTGATAGGGAGCTGCAACCCCTATCCCATCAGCACGCCTACAGTAGCATCCGCTCGGGCTGTTCACACGAAGGAAAAATAGGAGGAAAAGAAGGAAGCTGTAGCCGGGACGACCCACAACCAAAATCCCTTTTCTTTTCTTTTGTACGGAAGAGAAAATGGACCAAAATCCTCCAACCAAGTGGTTGGGAAATTCCCAAAGAAAAGGAAACCGAGGGGGACTCCTCACATAGGACGGTTGCTTCAGGTTTCCAGCAGGACCACCTGCAGGGCCCCACCAATACACTGAAGCCATCCCACAAGGCGGGTAGCTCACTATTCAGGGTTGCTCATATCAACCCCTTGGAGGAAAGGTAAAAACAGAAAGTCTCTACTACTTTATAGTAATTCCACCTCCAAGAAAGTCTCTAATACCTCCGTAGTAAATTCCACCTCCAAGAAAAAAGTGCCACTGAAGATACCCCAAAAAAGGGGAAAGTATGCGGGAGTCGCAAAACGAGTTTGAAAATACAGTTTGGGCAAAAAAATTCAAGTTGCACTTCGGGCAATGTATACAACCTAGGTTTCCGGTCAGGTAGGTTTGGGTGCAGACCGTGCGGGGGAATGTCCGAAGTGTAATTTCAAATTGTTTTGTGACTGTACTGAGGTTACACCCCCCCAAAAAAAAAGGGTGCCACCTACCAAAAAAGGTCCTTTTTTTTTCTTTTTCTTTTTGTAATCATCAGGCAGGCTTTTCCTACTACCCAGGGGCCAAGTCCCACGTGCACCGTTGAGTTGAGCTAGCTCAATGTTAACGCTGGACCCGCTGTACAGCAGGTGATGCTCCCCACCAATAGATGGAGCCTCCCCCCAGGTGCCAGTCGTGTCTGCTCTTATCAGCACCACTAACACTGGTGAGGGCGAGTTCAAATTGAAAAAAAAAAAAAAAAGGAATGCACCTTTGAGTTTATAACGTGAGTTGGCCAACTACTCGGGAGCTGAGTTCAATTTATGTTGATGTCACCTTTGAGTTTCTAATGCGCGAAAAAAAAAACATGTGTTTGCAAAGAAAACAGCCGCCAAGTTCGAAAATGTAATGAAAGTACTGCGGCCGTGGTGTCAGGCGGGTGTTCATGGTCTCAGACGGGGAAAGAGTAAAAAAGAAAAAAAAAAAAGCGTGGTGTCAGGCGGGTGTTCATGGTGTCAGACGGGGAAAGAGTAAAAAAGAAAAGAAAAAAAAGCCCCAACGGATCTTTTTTTTTTTTTTTTTTTTTTTTTTTTTTTTTTTAAACACCCCCGCCGAAGGTAGTGATGCTGATAAGAGCTGACACCCCTACCAGGCGGGGAGAGGCTCCATCTATTGGTGGGGAGCGTCACCTGCTGGAAAACGGGTCCAACGTCCCTTATACAGACTGAAATCAGAAAAAATCCGAACAAATTTGTGGTTTCCTGACAGCATTGATAACCCTGGACCCCAGGGGATTGACTGAGCAGGTCGTTGACAGAAATACAAGGGCCAGAAGAAGTCCTGCCACTACGCAGGCTGTGGTAGAAAAAGACTGCGATGTATGCTGCCCATAAAAGGGTTGAATGCTATCTTCAGGAGATGAGAGCTTGCAGGGCGTAACCATATGCCTCTGCTTCTTGGATGCCTGAGTGGTCCCCCGATATCAGACTGATTCGCCTGCAGGCCTGGAAGACCTCCTTCTCCCTCCGCCTTCCTGTGTCCGGGCAGGGGTCCGGGAGGAACACYGGGGGGCACCGGTGTTTCCTTCCGTACCCTTGCCCATCATTTCTCCGCAAGAATCCACCCCCCCCCCCTTTTTGACACCAAGTGATGCCTAGAACAAAAGTTTGTAAGATGTTTGTCATTCCTGTCCTAGAACCGTCCCCCCAGGCTATGACGCAGAACGACACCAGATCAGAGTTGATGGGGCTGAGACCACAAAACGGCAGACTGTGCCCGGGTGAATGAGCCCGATTCAGAGCAAGCGGGGAGGGCAGCGTCACCTCTTGGACCGGGATTGGGGGAAAGACCGTGAAGGATAGAGGGGAACAGGAATGACTACATCAGGAAGACAGGATTTGACTACGTCTCATATAACTGCGATTTCGTCAAAACGTTCATTTTTTATTTTTTGCGCGAAATTGAAAGTCCATTTTTTTCCGATTTTTGTATGTATTTTATGCAGTGTTGTATGGGTATAGGGGGTCAAGGGGTAAGGGGTAAGGGGTAATATGGGTGAGGTGTAAGGGGTAAGGGGTAAGGGGTAAGGGGTACGAGGTCATATGAAGTAACACATGAATGGTATTCAATCGGGCATGTCGCGTTGTTGCTTTGTTAAATACATTCGGACATTTTCATGCGTGTCTATCCAGCAGAGCCAATGATATCTTTACATTTGCAAAACAATAAACAAATGTTTTGCTTTCATAATGTCGTCTATCAAATGTCATTTGTTGCACAAGTAACTCCTATTTCGGTGTGACAAGTACATCTAAAGCGGTCCGTCCCCTTATATTGTGGATGTCGTCGAAAGAGAAGTCGAATGGCGGGAGAAATCCTCTTACCAACAGTGACGCATATGTTAGCATAAAGACACCACATTCGTTAATGCCGCGCTGTCTTGGAATGCCTGGCACATTCCATATGTGGTTGAAATCTTTTGTATCCACCACCTTTCACTGTTCAACCGATCTTTCGAACAAGCATCTTGCGAAACCACCTGTCACTTTCCTTGCCAATTCTTTGTCAGGCGTAAGCGAGTCGTAGTACTCCATTTTTTGGCGCCTTAGGTCAGCTATTACTAGTGTCCAATGGTTGGAATTCCGGACATGGAATGAAGCTATTATTAAGTCCACGTCACCCACATCGATATCTGTCATCCACTTCTAACAGCGATTTCGTCAAAACGGACATTTTATATTTTTTGAACGAAATTGAAATTGTCATTTTCTTGCTGATTTTGGTGATTTTTTACGTTTTGAGCACACCATTTTGGGTAGGTACCCCGCATTTGTTTATAGTTTGTGCTCATATTGACCACAAGTTTTACATTGCTTTCTCACACATTTTGGGGGGTGTTACAATTTCATTCGCATTATGTGATGCTATAGGGGTCTTTATGATGGGTTTTATTGTACTCTTCTATCGTATCAATTAGCATTTACTATGTTTCGCAAAATAATATCAGTTGTTTTTCGTTTTTTATTGACAAATGCATTAAGACAAGATAAACATATTGAATATCATACTAAAAAATACATATGGCATGTCCAGTCAATGACAAAAAAAATCCATGGACATCTAAAAAAGTTCGAGACATTTTGTTCCACCCTAGAATTACGAACAACGTTATGTGAATATTTTCAAAATCCATATAAAAAAAAATTGACTTCTTTAGACAAATACAAAGAAATATTGATGCGGAGTTTGGCTCATGTGACATATGATACATGTGAGCTGAAATATATGTACATAGAGAGACTCCATGTCTCTCTCTCTCTCTCTCTCTCTCTCTCTCTCTCTCT